CTGCTAGGTGTATGCAACGGATTGGAGCCCAGATGGACAGAGGGTAGCGAGCGGAGGGAAGGATAAGTGTTTGCGGATGTGAGTAACCTGTTGTCTGTCCATAGAGGTTGTCACAGCTGCTCCATGTGTCCTTCAGAGCTGCAGTCACCTTGCAGAGATCTACACGGTTAGGGCATGATCTCTCCTTGCAGAGAGCACAGCGCTGGGCCAAATTCCAGCCCGGAGACCTGACCTCCCTCAGGGCAGGAACTGCTGCTGTCCCCTGGGAGATGACTAGAAAGCAGAGTCCCTCCAACTGAGCAGTCAGTGGTGAAATTTGACTCAGATGTTTTGGTTCCTGGAGAGGGAAAGGAACAGTTTGCACCAGTCGGTCAGACCCTTCCTTTCTCACCTTCCTCCGTCTCCCAGTTATGCAGACAGGCAAATTCCTGTGAGCTCGTTGCCATTTGACCATGGCTGATGAAAGAACCCTGTGCTGCTCTTGTATGGTACCTGCTGGGCCGTGTGGCAGCACTGGTGCTGGTCCACAGGGACATAGCAGCTCTTTCCATTTGCAGATGGCGTCGATAGGAGCAGCGACGCGAAGCCTCCGGTCCCCTCCTAAGCTGGCCTGCCCTCGGCACAGTCTGCCTGGGAGATCTGCGAGGTGATGGACGATGGAGGCTGACCTGAACATAACTCCCTGTTCCTGTTGGCTGCTCTCCCTCATGGACTCTTTCCTTATATTTATTTAAGGAAATTTTAATTCCAGTTCTCATTAAGAGCTGTGCTTTGCAGGATGATTTTCTCTGAACATCACAGGAGGGATATCTCATCTGCCTCCATCTCAACTGGCTTTTTATTGAAATTCCAGCCCTATAGTAGCCTGCCCCCTTAAAGGGGACCAGTGAAGGGTGGGGCAGCTCCTGCCCTTTCTTGCTGTGCGAAGAATCCTGCAGAGAAGAGGCTTTTAGTGGGAACAGAAAGGGTTGTCCTTGTGTGACCTTCAGAGAGGGAGAGAGGAAAGGGAAAATCCAGCACATCATTACATTGCAGAATTGTGCTCAGCTGCATGCCTGGGACAAAGCTCTGCTGAGAATAAGGTCTCGGGGCTTCTCGTTATTCCAGTAAGGTTTTGCACTTCCACTGAGCCCATTTCCCTGTTAGTGATTCTCCTCATCTACAGCAGCTAACCCCTTTGCTCATCTGTTCAGGGTGCAACAGGCATGGACTTCAAATGACTTCTAGAGCTCTGCTGAGTTTTCAGGTCTCGATGGCTCTTAGAAATGGGGGAATGAGGCATTTGTGCCTCTGAACAGGGGAAAGAGCGCCTGTTTCCCATTCACTGCCGGCTCAGGGGGGAAGGAAGGAAGGGGTGGGGAAGGGGAAGAATGGAGCAGGCATTTTGGGTGGTGTTTGTCCCTTGCCCTGGATACGTGCTGACAGCAGGGCTGGGACTGTCACAGTAAATGACAAAACTTCCATTGCACGGAGTTGGCTCCTTCTGGAATTTCTCAAGTGCATTTACTTGCCCAGTGGGTGAGAGGGATTCACGCTGTCAGTTACGTATTTCTAAGCTTGCTTATGAGCCTTTTTATAAGTCAATTCAGGCTTCCAACAATCATGAGGCAAATAGACCTGGATTTAGTGTTTATTTCCAGGATGGTTATAAAACAGTGAAAATCAAGATGTGATTAATAAGGAACAGAGATTATATTGTCAGATTTAGTTGCAGCAAGCTAGCGTGAAGACCGAAACATTCTCTATAGCTCTCATACTGCAGTTGCTACGATGATTACTACAACTCAGACAGGAGTTTGGGTCTCGGATGCTTCCCAGCTGCAGAAGATGCATTTTAGTACTTTATCCCTGCTGGCGGGATTGCTTTGGATAATTAAGAGGGGATGGTGCAGTAACGGCCATTTGCTTGTCTGCAGGTGTTCAGGTGAGCAAAAGACTGGAACAAAGGGTTAAATCTTTAATATGACTGAGAACAAATTGCGGTTCCTGTTGTTAGTACCGCTTTCTGCCAGCCAAATCAGCAGGCTCTATCTTCATGGGATCTTTTGGGAAGAACTCAATATCCTGTACCTGCTCTTTCATTAACGTGCTTCCTCCAGCTGGTTCTTGCTGATGGTGAAGGCCATGTTGCATCCATCTGCATAAACAAAACCTTTCGTAATTCACGAAGGTAAATGTTGTGGGACAGGGTGATTTAAAAACTGTAGCTGATAATTCTGCCTCCCCAGACTGCCATGCCCTTGGGAAGGAAAGAGGCACATGTGCAGCTGACGGATCTCTGGTAACAGCCAAGAAGCCTGCCTGTTTTGCAAGTTTTTTGGGCTGCCTGTGCTAAAGGAAACAATCCACCCTCGGGAATTCAGCTCTGTCTGTCCCCGGGTTTGACTTGCTGAAAGTGGCAGCTTCTGCAGCTGTGGAGTACGTGGCTCTTTCCGAGGGAAGAAACATCGTTCTCTGCTTCCTCTCCCAAAGTGCTGCACAGGGGTCTCTGTGCCCCGTTAATCCATGGTGCGTTTTGTGTTAGAAGTGGGGATGTATCAGAGCTGGGGGAAGTGATCCTGCCTGTGGGGACTGGCTTGGCTGTGCATGTGCATACGTGTATTTAAAGACCGCTTCCTTGTCCACTGATTTCCAAACCAAAGCAATTGCTGTGCCTTCGGGCCGTGCTCCTAACCTATACTAGCTCCTGCCACCCCTTCAGATTCTGTTTTTGTAATACTAAGCACCAAACAGAGCCTGATTAAAACCCGCCTTCCTAATGCTGGAGCAGAAAGCTTTTCCAAAGCAAAGTGAGACCTCTTTAAGAAAGAGAGGGCCTTGCAACTAAGTTCACACTAAAAGAAGCCATCTCAGCCTTAATCTTTCTGTGACCTGATAGCGGGTAGATTTTGAACCACACTGTGTGATGGGTTTGCACGGATACCAAATCGTATTTTCGTATCTAAGCAGCTGCTACTATTTTTATCATTCATACAGTACCGGCCTTCATGCATACTAAGTGCTGGCCCCGTTCCAGCTGTATTCCTAAGCAATCTCGTAACACTCCTCCCAGTTTTATTTGAATGCGGCATTTCCCGGGCCTGGCTCTGCAGTCTCCTGCCTGCTCTCGTGCACTGGGGAAGAGCTGCTGCCCTTTGCTTCGGGGCCGGCTCCTTTTTGGCAGGAGGCGAAGCAAGCGCGCAACCTCCCTCGCTCTCCTGGTGATGGTGATGTGAGCTTTAGTTAGCTAATTTTTAGAATTGCAGTTGCAGATTTGGGTCGATGGTGTTATTAATGCAGAAGACATTACTTTTTGTTAAAGGACAAATCTAGAAGGTAGACTGGAGCTTGCTGATTGCTTTTCCGGGAACCGTGTCACTAACCTTACAAGAAACCTACTGAAACACGAACTTTTCCAATGCTGTGTGATGGGAATCTCAGTATCTGCTGCTGTTTCGATCCAGTTTCACCCAAGTTACTTGTTAAGCATACCACACAGTTATGCCTACCACAGGGGCATTATTTTTTACTAGTAATATAGGAATAATTTTAAGCATATCTGGAAACTGTCCCGCAGAGCCCTCTGACACTTTCTTCTTTAAAACCTGTGATAGCTCAGCTGATGCCACCATTAATTTTGTTACAAATCCCCAATGGGAGGACAGTGACGATAAGGACTGGGAAGCATGCCAGTCCTCCGAGAAAGCTTTACCTGTCTCATAAATTCCTGGGTATGCTGGAGGGAGGGAGGGAAGGAGAGAAGAAAATGGTGAGAGCATGTAGGGTGAAGTGGGCTGTCTGGGATAGTGCTGGGATGAGCCGGACAGTGCCAGACTCCTGCCCTTGGGGGTTGATTTAGGTAAGTGAGGCCTTTGCATCCTTATGAAAACTGTTGTCAGGGCTGTGTGTTCTGCTTATCCACGCAGGAGGGCTGGGCAAGTGGTGTACATGTGCTCCCTGGGTCCTTGGAGCCATGCATTCATGTTCTGCTCGACTCAGCTGATCTGTCGATTATTTTCCCAGATCAGTAATTTAACTTCCATGTGCATGTTTATAGCCTGGGGAGAGATACAAGAAAAATCTTTTGAAGAACAGGAAGACAGTAATCTTCATTCGTTGTTCTGCTTGAACATTAGGAAAAGCAGTCATCTCTCCGCTTTTCTTTGGGCCAACCCAGGCACTATTCAGGTGATGTTTCTACCTGAGAAAGGGCTGCATTTTGGTGGTATGGCAGAAAAGGGCTTACTGTGAAGACCATTAGCACTTTTGAGGAGGAGAGGTGTTATGGAAACTCGGAACAGTGATGTCTGTATTCTGGGGAGCTGCTGCCAGATGAAAGTGTACTTCTCTTGTGTACTCAGACAAGCAACCTGGAAGGTGCTAATTCCTTCCCAGATCTGTTGCTCTTGTGATCATGAGTCCTGGCTCACATCGGAGGGACTAATTTGGCTGAACCAATGTAGTGCAGCTGAGAGAGAGCCACAAATCCATCTCCAGTGCTGTTACTCTGCGTTTTCTTCACTCTGACCCTGTAAATCGGTGGTCCTTGCTGAGCTGCAGGTCACTGGAGGTCTGTGTCAGTGGGCTGCAGCTCTTGCACAGTACGATGTTAAAAATCAACTCGGCGCGCGCAGTACTCTCTGCTTTTGAAGGATCACTGTGGTCGGTTAGACACGGTACTAGTACCCACTGCCTGGCCATGCTTTTTGAGCACGCTGAGTATTTTATTGTCCTGCCGTGTGGCTTGTCAGAGCAGAGCAGTGCATCCCTCCGAGTGCTGCAGGGCTGCCGCCGCGCACCAGCGTTAAATGGTGAATATCTGTGTGTATTCCTTGGGCAAGAGGAGCAGCACGAGCCCCGCGGGGTTATTGTGCATCGTTCTCCCAACATCTCTAGTAATGAGGCTCCCTTTGGGAAAGGCGGACAAATACAGTCTGCTTCGTCTCCGACCTCTTTCAGCAGGGAAAGCAAGTGAAGGTGTTGTTTGTAAGTAGGTTTATTGTAGTCGATCAGTACTGGAAATATTGACACCTAGAAGCTCTCCCAGGGACTAAACAAGGACTCAGCTCAAATGAGTGACCTGCATGCAAATCCCATAGCCCT